TAAATCATCTTGTCCCTTAGCTTTTTTTTTCTTTCTCTTCGGCTGATTTGGTTGGGCATGCTTGGTTCGATAGATATATGTACTTATATTCTCCAACACTGTTTTCAAGGGTGATTATATGACCAGTAATTGTATATTTTGGGTGTGGATATATCGGTGGGGGGGTAACTGATGCCATGTTTTCCTTTCTGCTCACCGACCCAGCGTGGAGGATCTGTGTTTTGCTGAACTGTTTGTCTTTTGTATTTGTGACCTTTTCTTACTTGAAGGCACCCTCAAGTGTTTTAAAAATAGAAATAAGATTAACTTTAAACTAACTTGAAAAATATGAATTTATTAATATTCTGTTTTTATTGTAATTAGATAAACCGTATTGACATTTAGTGTATATTTTTTATAAATGTATTTGGCAACAGTGTTTTTATTGTTGCTGAATTATTTATGGATGTGGCTTGTCCGTTTGGATAGCTCCTTGTATAGTGATTTATTTCACTTTTGAGTAATCCGCAGGCTTTTTTTCTATATCTTGCGCTCTATGTATTTGTATCTGTATTGCCCGAAAATAAATAAATAAATTACCCTGGTTTGAGGGTACCCTACCTCATGACCACTGGGAGGAGAAATGCCGACCATCTTAAGCATTTGCTGGAACAGCTTGCTGTCCATGGCATCTCCATTCTCTTCAGTAAGAGGCACGATGGGGATTGCCTGCTCATCCCCTGAGGAAAAACAAAAACCCCACATCAGTGAATACTCAGTTATGAGGAACGACACTTATGGGCAGAAATGATGTACAGACGGGTATGCCTTCTCCAACCTCTGACAGAAAGAATTTCATCCAGGTTCTGAAGAGAAGCAACTAGGGTGGTGATCCCCTTATTTTGGAATGAATTTTGTGAAATGTGACATCATAAATCATTGAGGAAATTGAAAGAGTATGGTATTAGAGGAGTAGAGCCAAACTGACCTGAACAATTCCATACAACAATGAAAATGAGCCATTTTTAAAATGAATTCTTTTTGTCATATAAGGTTGTGCCGTTACCCCCTTATTTCCACTTTCTGCTTGGGAAAAACCTCCTGATTGGGGAAAACCTCCTGATTTAGAAATAACTTTTCTATTTCAGCAGTAAAACCTGCAGTAAAACCTGTGTCTGCATATCATTTATCTGTCGGTGCCTCTGTTTCATACATGGGGTGCTCATTACAAGTCATAAGATTTATGATGCCAGGGATTCCACCATGCCTGGAACGTTGGTGTTATCTAGCATGCTTGGGATGTTCATGCCTCAAGAGTGGCTCAACAAAAAATTCCTTACTTTCTTTTTCCCTGTCGTCGGCAGTGCTTCTCAGACCTCCCTGTATCCAGAGAATTTGCTCTGCCAAACCTGGCAGGAAAATTGTCAAAGGCAGACGTTATTGGAAGAATGATCATCAGTAACTGTTTCTACCACTCGACAGCTTCAAAACTGCCCTTCCGAACATGAACTTGCTCAATTGGGGTCACTACTACACTGTCTCAAATCACAATATTGTACAGCTGAGGTAAAGTGTGGTGTTTCAATACTCCATCAGTAAAACTGTGGTCTGACGCTACAGAACAAACAGAGCGTTCGATTATTTCCCCCGTGCTGACTTACAGAAGTGCACCTGCATGGGATTTGACACTCGTGGCTTCTCGTGTCTACTTGCGGCTAGCCCAAGTAAATGACCTGCTGGGCTGGTTACCCGGGGAAGTATCCCACAATGCAATGTAAAAGTATGGCGGCTCAGTCGAGCGCTTTGAGTAAATGGCAAGTTCCATTCCACTGGATGGCAAATTTTCCGTAGGTAGTGCACAAAGATTGCCGTGCCCTGCAGGCATCATTTGTCACAAGGAGTTAGCGCTGTAGTAATTGAATACAGTTCTACAGTCAGGTTCGCTTGCCTTTCTCCTGGAGCTTCCTGACGATACTGCTGAGTGTCTTCTCCCCGCTTCCTCCTGCATCATCCACGTCATCATCACTGCTAGCCTCGTCACTGGAGCAACTGGATTCACTTTCCGTCTCGTTGTGGTAAGCTGAAGTCTCTTGGGTGTCCGGTTTGGAGTGCTGGGCCAGGAATCCTAGTGGGAGAATCAAGAAAACAAATCCATCCAAAACTGTCGCTCAAACTTATGGCTGATAGAATCTGGAGTTAAGAGGATTTTGTCTAAAGCTCTGCTAAGTGAATAACTATTATCAGGGATGAGATTATCTGTTTTAGAAAAGATCTGAAACTGCGTATAAAATGTCTGAAAGGTGCATTTCCTCCTATACCGATAATGCTTTCTATCAGATTCAAAATGTCTGAATTCAGACAAAAGTCTGCAAAGTCTTATGACTGTATTATAAAGCTATCGGTATTGTATGCTTAGTGCTTTCAAAGAGCCTGTGGATATTAAACATAATTACAAACTTATTTCAGGTCTTAAAATCCGAATCTGCAATTTCTTGTTTCACTCAACATGCATGTTGTGATTATACCTGACCACATGAAATCCAAGATGGTACACATATGTGCATATGTTGGGGAGTGGTTGATAACAGTCAGTGACTTAATTTAAATGTTTCATAACTAGTTGTAATCCCTGTCTGGCCGGCATGCAGATGGAATGTAGAAATTGCATCTTCAATTCAAAACATCAAAATGAAAACATCCGTGTGGTCAACTGAATTATGAATAAACTGCAAATATTACGAGCACAATTTCTAACCTTCAAACTCGTCTTCTTCATCCATATCATCAATAAAATTTCTCTGCCAAAAGAGAAAGCAAAAAACAAACCAATTTCCAATTTGAGCCAAGCCTGCATTGCCAGATGCCATTCTTCACTGAAAGGGATATCAAGATGAGTAATGAAGCAATACAAACACTGTTCTGTTTTACCTGTGAGCGGCGAGGAAACCACCGTTAGAGGACAGAGCTAAGAGGCCTCTCACATAACCAGATCTTAACCGACAGGAATAAAACTGTGGCATCTTAACTAAAGGAAAGGGCTTCCAGGCATGTACACTTCAACAAAGCATAAAGCCAGAGCATTTCTGGCGGTGTTTTGTTCTCAGTAAAAATGGTCCGATTAAACTCTAACCCCAGTCAGGCTATAGCTATACAAATCTAACACAGCTGCTGATGATTGCTATAAAAAGTGACATACCCAAACAGAGGGTTTCATAACGTTGTACAGCAATATTATAAGATAAAGCCAGATCTGGGGGCTGTGCAGTTTCAAAGTATACCCTTTCCCTTTGGGCAGCTGCCGAATCCAGTTATCAATGTAAGCATATTACCAGTGCTGGGTTTAATACATTTAAAGGATAACAGAAACAAAGTAGGGCCTTGGGCCGACACGGATGACCCTTGAGCTGTACAGTAGGCAACTGGAATGATTTAAGTTTCTTCAAGCACTGCAAGTTTCAAGAAACGCTTACTCATAACATGCTTAGCAAAATTCACCAACCAAACATAATACAACTCTTCCAAAACAGACTCACGTCATTGCTGCTGCCACCATCATCGCTGTCCTCATCACTGTTGCCGTGGCGGCTGCGTCTCTTCCTTTCCGTCCTGCCTCCTCCCTTGCCTCGTTTCTTATGCAGCTCCTTGCGATCTTGGACCAGCCCTAGGCCCAGGAGCTTGTCGATCACTTTGGCCTTGGAGCGCTTTTCTGTCATATCATTCATGATGTTGCCGAGAATGTCTGGGTCAATCGAGCAAAATAGAATAAAAATCTTGTTAGCCTTAATCAGAGCTGCCAACCTTCAACTCAGCTTTTCAGTGTTCTGCTGAAGAAATTAGCCTTTTTCGGTGCGACCCTATTAGAATGTGCTATTTTACTTCCAACTGGTTTTTGAAAAGCTGCTTTCTGGAACTCTTCAAAGCTGAGGATGTTGAAGCCATCTTCACGATTGGCTGTATTACGTTCAATAACAGAAACTAACCAACAAGGTATGCAAAGCATGCCAGTGCAGACCTCTCACAACAATAGCGAATTACTGCATGCGCCCTGTACACAATAAGCTAAGCTGGGCTGCAGTGCATAGTACATTACCAGATAACTGTAGGTGTCAAGGCATCAGACTAGCTTCAGTTCTATGATAGATACCCCATAAAAATTCAACTTTGTCAATCCTGACTCATGTTATTGTGCATGCAATCGTTTTGGTTAGATCGAATTGCATATTGCCTACCAGCTGGCAAGCTTGCCAATATTGTGTATTAATAACATGCCATAATCAGAGTTTCCAAAATCCATATTTTCAAACACAGATCCGTACTACCGTATTTTCATTTCATTTCCATATGAAATGTGGAAAGTCTGTACTAGTTAGCAGCTGTGCTCAATCCTCAAAGGTATTTTGTCCAGAGACCCTGCCAGGTGCACTGGTCTCCATCATTTGTCCAAGTGGCTTGAAGAGTGCAACAAGATTGAACCGGTCAACTTTCTTAATGGGCGAACAGCCTCCGAATGTACTTTTTGCCAAACACCACAGGATCAGTCAGTAGCATTGTTCAATGGAACCAGCTGCGGTTGCCTCAATACGCTCCAGTTTAGTTGACCAGTGCACCTGGACTGAGGTGTGTTCGGTAGTACAACACACATGCCAGGATTGTGACATAATACCCTGATGTACCTTCATCACTGATTGTACACATAGACGTATAGCTCTGATCAAGGTGTGGTTTAGGGTTCAGGGATGTAAACTGAGAAGCTATATTCTACTTTAGGCTGTATAAAGCTGAGTCTATTGTAAAAGAGTTGCCGACACGTTAAGAGGTGGAAGTTTCTGGACACAAGAACCAAAACCTAAACATCATACAAGTCTAAGAGAAACCAATTGTGAAGATATGTTCATCCTCTGAGGAATAAACAATGATGTTAACTCGTGACTTCTTCTTCAGAGCGCTGGAGAGTTACAGCGTCTTACCGTCAGAGCCCTTGTGTTGTTCAAACAGATTCCGAAGCTCAAATTCATGGTCCTCTCGCCAAATGGTAACTCGTTTGGCTCTGTCAAAATGAGCAAACAAATATTACTATTATTAACAATGTCTGGTAACGACACCAAGGATTCCTCAAAAGCGCCCCAGGCACTGTAGCTCGCAAGCTTGAAGAAATCTTTAGGCCTAAAGGAGAGAATGAGACACAGCTACAGTTTTAGAGTTGGGAGGAAAACATCAGAAGTATATTCTGGGTAAAACCCAAGGAATCAGGTAGGGACTGAAAACCCAATCCACATGTGGACCGGGCCAGGATTCGAACCCGGGCCTCAGAGGTGGAAGGCGAGTAAAGAACCACTACGCCAACCCGTCTCCCCTCACTACGCCAACCCGTTTCCCCTCACAAACCCAACCCGATTCCCCTACATATAGGGCCAGAAATGTTTAAAAACTCAAACCAACAGAGTAAGCCCTGCATTTCTTTTGGTCAGTTTGGTGAAAATGAGGAGTTACTTGACAAAAAAGTGACATCCCTAGTAAATTGACAAGATTTCCTCCATCACACTGTGCAGCAACACTGGACATTTTACAATACTTTATTTAAACTGCACAAATCATTCTCTTTCACTCAGGCAAATCACTTGCACATGGTGGGTTTTTACAGCCCCTTCTTGTTTGTAGACTCAAGCTCTGTGTTATCATCTCGTACCCTTTTTTCCGCTTCAAGTCGGCTGCACTATCAATGATTCCTTGCCTCTGCAGCTGAGTGATAATCTGTAAAAGGAAGACAGACAGACGGCTCCTTGTTACTTTGTTCAATATCAGACCGAAAACTCCATACCTGTCTGATTAGAAATCCTTGTCTCATTTTGCCTCAGCAGTTACTGTCACAACCTGCATCAAGAACAGAATTAAGTTTGGCAATCTCCCTTCTTCTTCTTTCATTCAATTAATTGAAATGGCTAAGAAAATTAACATCAGATATCCCCAGTTTTGAGACTTTGTTCATCCTCAACTGTAGAGCCAAGTCATTGTTACGTTACTTAAAGCTTAATGTTCAAATCTGTTTCCAGAACAAAGAATGCATAATTGTTTACTGTGCCAAGTTGAATTTTTGCAGGTTCAAGCGGCTTCCTTGCTTACAAATGGCAGCAAGGTTAATGCTGTAGAGTAGGAACAAAACTTGAACGACCAAAAAATGTCGACACAGGTTGTCAACAAATTTGGCCATTTTACCTGTCTCCTTGTCCTGCTGTCATCGATGATGTGTTCCATGATGTGGTCCACGACATCTTTGTCTGAAAAAGGAATGTGTCAAAAATTGTGCTTTTCTACAAAAGGGTCTCCTACAAATGTACAATTTGCCCAAGATTGAACGAGACAAATCAAGTCTTTGAGTCAGCCAATGTTCATTGTACCAATAGTTCAATAGCCACAGACACAGTGATGTTCAGAGGGAAGCCAGAACTTTGACAATCTGTGGTGACTGGCCCTATTTTGAATGGGAATCTCTGGCCTCAACCAGTTCACCCCAGACGACATATTGAACGCGATCTTGAAGCCTGCCCACGCAGGGAGGGTCATACATGCCATGAGTCACGCCGGTGGATTTCTACGTATGCCAATCCCCCCAGTTCTTATACACAATGCCAAGTCCTGGAAGTGCGTGAAGGCAGACCGTGTGTTGAACTTGATGTTGGCTGCTGTGTATTGCCTGTGGTATCATCAAATAGCTCAGTGGCAGTGCCCCAGAGTGTTGCAAAATATAAAGTGATATTGACGACTGTATTCACAGCCAACTTGTGAGAGGTATCAACAATCAACCCCCCAATCACCTACTTGTTCTTGATTAAACATGCTTGACTCTTTCCACATTTTTTTTTGGGGGGGGGGCCGAGACTTGGTCTTCATCTCCATCTTAATCCTGGGCCGTTTTCCAATACTCAACTTCGGCTCCATCTCAGGCTTCAACTGTTTTTTTTACTAGCTGACTTTGAAGCTGTAAGCGCAGTAATCAGTCTAATAGTGCCAGAGAACATCAAATAAGATACAAGAAAGCCAAAAATTACAGTAATCCAATGCAATTTAAATGCTTCAGGCCTACAATCGGGGATTGGTGTTGGGAACGAAGCCTCAGACGGAGACAAAATTGAGTATTGGAAAATAGCCCTGGTCTCAAACTAGAATTTCTCTGTAACTGTTACCCTCTTACCCCCTTCTATCGTCTCCTTGTACTCCTCATACAGCTGGACCAATTCAAGCTGCTCCTCCTCACGCCACTCGACAGAAGACTTCTTGCTCCTGCAGATTTATTGAGTGAAATAATATCAGAAAACTGGGCTTGCATCGGAAGTGTACTGGAACTGTAGAGTGATTGCATGTCATTTCATATTTAAAGCAGAAAGGATCTTCCAAGAGTGTTGTTTTAACAATTGGATTTCAAAATTGTCAAAGTCACAATGGGGACCAACTTCCTTCATTCACCTATGATGCTTTAAACTGAAACATTAGCAGAATGAAAACATGATTCACTTTTTCTCCATGACTGCTCCGTATCCCTCGCTGATCTCAAAGAGGTCTTTGGCATCCTTCCAAAACAACAGTTCCATGAAGATCTTGGGATTGGAGGCTGCCATCTCAAAGAACTTGGCCACAACGAATTTGGAGAACTTCACTGTCTCCTGTGTTTGGGAGGGAAAAAGAAAGAAGGAATCTTGCTCTTCACTTTCAATCAGTGCTTCTCAGAGTGGTGGGCTTTGAACCTCTGGCCTTATACCTACTCAGGGTCAGACTTGTTTAACTCGTGTCGTAAATCATGGGTCATTCCATAGAGTTGAGGAACATTTTGTGACAGTTGGATATTTTGTATACTGGGTACAAAGGGGCCACTCAGAGTAACTGGAGTGTTACAAGAACAGTAGTGGTGACTATTCCAGATTGTTCAGGAATGTCAGAGCATTTTGAAATTATTCAGCATAATTTAAAAACAAAAACTGATTCAGGATTAACTTGGACACCGCAAAATTTTAAACCCACTTTTAGTTATTACATTCAACCTAAAACAACTACAAAAACTTTCACCTTCATGCTACTTGTTGATGAGATGGGATCATTCACAATCTTCTGGAATATCCTGAAGAGGGAGATTTGGAAGAGCAGGGGCGTCTTGTCGCAGTCCCAGGCAACCCGGTGCAGCATCTTGACGATGCAGTGGTTGGTGGTGGCGGAGTTGTTGCGGTAATCTTTCAGGAGCTGGACGTAGCAGGAGATTACATCTGGATGGCTGAATCTGTGGTAAGAAAAAAAAAGTTGAAGTCATCAACAAGTGAAAAGAAATTGAGAGCAAAGAGTTGGGCAGCCATGACTGGTCCAGCAGATGCTGGTAAAATAGGTGTAAGGGCTTTCGATGAAGTACATGTCGTGTTGTGATGTGAGATTTTTAAAGGGTTTTAACTTAAAGCTCAGGTGAAAGTTACTTCAGAACAGAAACGGGGAATGAATTCCCCTTCCAGTAACAGCAGATAATAATAATTTTGTAAACGATACCATGCTAGACAGAAGCTGGCACAAATAGTTTACCACCAAGGGGCCTAGGAATGGACCTCTATGAATAGCTTGTCTAGTTTGAAACAAACCACTCACTTGTTTATGAAAACCTTCAAATTGAACTCTTCCTCTGCCCTGTCTTGTCTCTCTGCTTCAAGGAGTTCATCTTCTTCATCTGCAGGAAAGAGAAAGATGACAAATCAAGAACCATTTTCATACCATTTCTGTATCACCAATCCAGTCATAAAACTGCTCTGCACCTCCTGGAGCCCAAGTCTTGGCACATGCCTTGCGTCATTTAGTGTGCAAAAATGCCGCGTCCTTGACAATTTTTAATATCATCAATCCCTCAGGAGTAGCCTGGCAGTCCATCATAATTGGCTCGTCTCCTACAAAGTTTTGACATCTGGCCATCAAGTTTAAAATAACTGGGTGCTACACATCATTTTGGAATATGTCATTTTAAAACATTGCCTTGATGAAAAACATGTTCATAAATGTCTAAAGTGCTTCATTACCCCTCCAAAAAGCATGCTCCACCTCCCCAAAAAACCCTCTACATGCCCAGAAATGTGGCAGATCTGAACTCATTGTTTCATTCCTTAAGTGGGCCTTGAACACCATGGCACCAACACAGGGCCGTACTTGAGCCAATCACAAGACTAGTCACAAATCCTTCAACAATCCCTGTCACATGACCAGTCACAAGACAACTAGCAGGGTGAACAACCAAAAAAGAAGGCTTTTCAAGCTGTGCAAGAGTTCGTACAAACAGCTGATGACTTAACTTTAAACTGGATAACTTTGCCTTGTGATGACTTCCACTACAGCCCAAGCAGGATCTCACTCCTGGGAGATTTCCCCCAGGATGAGATGCTATGGAGCTTGGATTTGTCAGGAGCCTTGTGAAAAAGAGTTTTTGAGGTTTGGGTTCATGTTTCAATGTCGGGACTACACAAGTTTTGTTGAGGCTTAACACACTTGGAGCTCGAATCCAGCATTTCACGGTCCAATCACCGGGCGACAGAGTTCACCTGAAAGCGTTTGCCCAGTTACACCAATGCAACTCACCCTCAAATTCCTCTTCATTCTCCTCGTCTGCTTCCTCTACAGGCGGTGTTGGAGCAACAACTGCAAAGTTAGGAGAAACATGAAACAATTAAAAAGTGGGATGAGACAATCAAAGATGCCACTGTCAAAAATATTCTGCCTCTCATCAACATGAAAAACAGGTGATCGGGAGCATCTCTGCACAATGGTGTTAAATGACCATCCACATTACCGCGTAAATTACTGAGAGACTTATTGTGGAAATATGTAGACATGTAACGAATGACATGGATTTAGGGCTGTGCCGAATATCCGAATAATTATCGAATATTCAAATGGTATTTTCTGAATTTGCATATTAGAATGCAAAATTCATGAAAAGAAAGGGAAATTTTCTTTTGTTTAAAATGAGAAAAATTGCACTCTGGAGGCTTGTTTCAAGCAGATTAAATGAAAAGCTACAGAAATCGTACAATTCAAAAAGTAAATTATCATTACATAATATAAAATAGACATTTTCAACAGGGCAAGAAGTATTGTTCATCTCTTAAATCTTGCTAAATCGTGGCTGGAGATACTCTTTGATGTAAGAAGCTATTATATTGATTATAATGTACAATTGTGTACATTAATATTGCAACTGACTTTGTATATGGTTTGTTTATCAACAATTTGCCGGTGGGTACAACCGAATATTCGGGTATTCGATTTAATTGAAGGTCAAATATTCAAATAGTGAATTATTCGAATTGACTAAGCCCTACATGGATTGCAACGACACACACATGGGTAAACTACTTCCAAAGAAAAGTATTGAATGGTTATGCATCTCTGAAACATGGGATTCAAAAACAATTCTCAAACACAGATTGAAGTCGGTGGAACTAAGACAGGTCTTATCTCCAGGATTGTCCATTATTGGTTTTTAAACCCACTCCCCACATCACATTGCACCAGGAACACAGGGCAACCTCCGAGGTCATTTAAACTTCAACAGTAAATTTAAACCGATCTTTTGTCAAATGGGGCACTTGACTTGTACAAGTACAAGTAATCTGATTCCTGAACCTTCTCACTTGGGACGTCCTGTTCCCAAGTTAGTGTACGGGTGCTAAGGTGTTCCTTAGTGTTGCTTGGAAGTTACCAAATAGAACCAGCATGTGGTCCCGATGAACCAGGTTGGTATTTCAAAAAGACAAGGTCATTTGGGAAAAAGAGCCATGTATGGCTTAGTTTGCAGCAAGTATTGCTGTTCCTGCATAGTTGGAATACCAAATTGACTCATTAGGACTGATGGCATATCCATGGCAAAATGTTTGGCCCTTTCCCACCGTCCCTTTCTCCCTGAGGGGTTCAGATTTTCTGAGACGACACATCTCCTCTTCCATACCGTTCAGGTTTGTGAAGTGGATCTCCCGTAGTGCCATGAACTCGTCCTCTGGGCCGATGTCTGCTGCCCCAAAGATGTCGTTCTCTGGCCACACCTCCCTGGCGGCGCGAAGCAGAGCAATGGCATCCCCGGGCTGACCCGTATGGAGGCTGTGCTGAATGCGGACCATGGCATCCGACCTACGCAAAAAAAGGATAAAAGAAAAAGAAAAGGTAGATTCCGAAAGATAACAAATTATGACAAGACAAATAAAAAACAGAACTGATCTATTTCATGTTCACTCCCCCATCAATACAGCATCTAGTAACTGAACAGTTTTTATCAAAACAAGGTCAGTTGACATGAGTGGTCTCCTCTGAACAATATTCATTTCATGCCAGAAGTCGGCAATCAGAAATCACTTGACATTAAAAAATCCTTTATGTGTCGAATGACAGGGGAATCCAATGTGTATCTTTTATTTCAGTAACTGACAGAAATATCTCTGAAACCCAAGTCTCAGATGCCCTCCAAAGCTCAGATTGCACGAGTGAGCATCCGTAACTCTGTGGGTCTTTGTGGGTCTCTGCAGGCCCCAGACCCCATTCCATTCAGTTTAGGACTCACTGCTTACTCACTTTTGCCAAAAGGGCAAATATTTATAAATTTGGTAGTAATTACTGACAGGAAAATATGAACCCAACACTGCTCAAAAAAACGTAGTTGGCTGCAAAAATGTGTGCTAAGCTAAAACTTGGCCTATTATTTAATGTATAATTGCTAGGTGAAATCCTGGTATTTGATAACACCTTCAGAAGTTTTTCAAACTAAATTTTGGCCCCACCTTTGTTCTTCAACTGGTAGCTCCGAAGCGGCATCAAATGGCACAGCATTCTCTGGAATGTCCTCCCGGCCTTGCAACATGGCTGATAGGTCAGAGGTTACGTTATCCCATGATGCATTGAGTTCCTCCTCATCCTCGCCAGGCTGCTCTATCTGTTGCTGCTGTCGCTGAGCTGTTGGGCGCCGCCTGCGGCGACTTTGCTTGCGTTTCTTTTTCTGGAATAAATTTACAGCACATTGAATTTGTTGTAAGTTCCAGTTGACAACATCCCATGTTGGCTGATTGTGTTGGGACATGCTGATCCAAATATGGATCCCAATATGTAGTGACCAAAGTTCGTACACTTCTTTCAAATTTATGTCGTAATTTTATTTTGCTTTTCTGTAGACCCAGCATATTTAAATGAAGCTAGCATTTCCATTAAATCAATTCGATTCAAGAAATATTTGATTCAATTTATTTGATTTTGCCATTTTTCAGACGGTTGTTCTTTCAGTCTTCAGTGGCAATTACAGGGTTCCTTGCATTTCGTGGAAACAAAATTCCCGGATTTTTCCCTGATAGAAGTTAAAACTTCCAGGATCATCATTTTGACTTTATAGTCTGATAGTGTACACTACAGGTGTTCGTGTTACAGGTTATAACGTAATAGGCGCATCACAGCTACGCTGACACAGAGAGAAAGAGGCATTTACTACAAGTGCACAAAGCTATGCTACAAAGCCACCATAGCCATCAATCATCCAGAGGATTTGCTGTTTGGTAATGGACACGAGGTGAGAAAGTCTGACCACTGGACAAACAAAATTCCCGGATGAGAGGGACTTTTCTCAATTCCCTTAATTTTCCCTGACTGGAAAAAGGGGAAGTAATTTTCCAGGTTTTCCCTGATTTCCTGGTTTGCTGAGAGCCCTGAATTAGTCGGTCAGTATAGGATTAGTGCAGGTTTTCAGGTCTTACCTGAACCATGATGGTGTTCTTGCCTTTGCAGTATCGCTCCAACATCTTAAGGAAAGAGTGGGTGGTCTCTATCAAGTCTTTTAAGAAGGATCTTCAAAAACAAAACATAGTACCTCAGGTTTCAAAATTTAACTCAAAAATGTTCAAAATTTCAATTAGCATACAAGTGATTCCAATAATCATTTCACTATCTCAAACAGGTAAGGATCTTTATGAACATGCAAAGCAACCAAGCTTGAACACGTTGGGCATGGGTGAGTTAGTGTGCCAAAGTAATGCTGTTTACCAGTGGCCTTTGATGCACTTCATTTTGGCTCTAAATGTAGGAAATTCAACCAAACTCACCACAATTTTCAACTGTTCATTTCCTTTCAATATTGTGGTTTATGACCTAACTATAGACCACTCTTATTGCGCCGAAAATTATATAGGCAGCCGAACTTGAAAGAAAAACTACCGTTTGATTGTTTCTTATTTTACCTTGTAACATTAATTTTAGAAAGGGCTGCATTTTGACTTAGCATTTAGCAGTACATGAATTATTTTCTGTGTTCTGAAAGCTGTGAAGATTTCTGACATTTTGTGAATTACTCTTTAACTTTAGTACTGACGCCCTGCCAATTTTAGTAGCCAGCTGTAGGAGAAATACAGCTGTAAGGTAAAAAGCGCAGACACTGTACAAACAAAACTTCACACACTAAACAGAGGTCACTTTTACATGCCTTGTGTTCAAACTCAGAACTCTGGTGTCTCTCATTTGAATCCTATCTGGAGTACGGCATTCACTGTTTGACTTAAACTCTTTTCCAGAGTATTTTAAATAAATTTGGTGATGCTGGCATACAGTGATCAAATCACATCAAAGGGACCGTTGGACAGTTATCATAAAGTTAGAAAAGCATGTCCAGGTGTGAACTATAGTTTGACCTTTAGTAAACTGCTTTTCAACAGTGACTGCATACAATAGAGTAAGGAAGTGTGACATCATTTATAACCAGTGAATGCTGTACAAACAAATGGAGTACGCACGCGCACTGGTTCATGCATTGGTTCTCGCGCTAATGCCAACACACATAATTGTGCATGTGATGTATTCACTTCGGTACTCTATGCTGCCACACTCAAACAGCCCTGGTTGAAGTAGTTTGTAAATCCCATCATCATTCACATTTTGCTCTTGGCTGAACTCGTACAGCGTACACGGTCAATAGCATCTTGTACAATTATTTTCAGGTGAACAGCTCCCTCCGTTCTGACAAATTCTATTGGCTTTTGATAACCAGCGGTGCGACCATGCCTAAGGCGCCTGGTTCTAAATGTTCCACAAGATGGTCCGAACCGTCCACTGTTCGAGGCGACATTGGTTAAACCATGGTTAACTGTAGTTGTCACTCAAACGTGCCCTGACACAGAGTCATCTGAGCTGACCTGTGCCAACTCACCTCGTGCAATAGACCTCGTTGTACTTCTTCAGAAGGGTCAGGAACACCTCCCGATACTCCACCACGTAAAAGATGTTGCTCTGGATGACCTTGGCTGACTCCCTGATCTTGGGGTCACTGGAGTGCGTCATGGCATCCACACTAGCTACCAGCTCGCCGTAGGCTTTCAGACCAAGGTGCATTCTGGGATTGGTAAACATCATGTGATTTGGGATATTATTTGCTTGTCAAAATACTCTTAACTCTGACCAAAACCTGACAGTAAGGCTAGGGAAGCCAAATTCAACTCCCTGAAATTAGTCCAATAGTTAAATGAAAAGCCTGAGGGAAGAATCTTGCCTGAAAACAGGCGTACTTAGAAACACACAGCAGACGCAAACATGAGGAAATAATACAAAATGCAAATCTTAGCTGAAATAGAATAAAACAGCAACTACCTTCAAATTCTGGGAAAATTTAAATTTAAAATTAATTTAAATTTCATCTTTTAACCCACCTTTTGGACCAAGCATGAGCTTCCTTCTTGTCTGCTGTCATCATGTCCAAATATTTGATAATTTGGGTTTGGACGTAGAAAAACGATTGAACAGATAACGTTTCACTAAAGAAAGGAACAAAACACCAGTCAATGATTTCAAAAACAAAATGTGCCAAGTGGTGAGACAAATACTTTCAATCTAAGAATATTTTCCCTGTGGATAAAAAGTTAATTTTTAAAAGACAAGAAATTCAAATTGTAAATCAGTATGGAATGTGAATTGCACATAAAAGGTGTCAAAATTAGTCGTCAAGACCACAGTTCACTGATTTTTTGAGAGAATCACGAAAAACTCTCCTGCCAAAGAATCTTTCTCAAATCATTCCTCTCACAAAACGTGAACATAAAATAACTTGAAGCTGCAAATGGTTGTGAAACCAAAACTCTCCTGCCACAGAATATCTTTTAAATCACTCCTCTTAAAAAATTCATAAACCCAAAATAACTTTGAAGAATCCGAAAAAAAAGGAGAAAAATGGTTGGAAGACCTAAGCCTACATACCTGACAATGTCTACTCGAAATTTGTAAAGTCTGCTGAACTCCATAAAAAAGCGCATGGCCCACAGGTAGAAGGAGTCGTCGTGTTCTTGGGCATGTTGGTGCATGATGTGATCCTAAGGAAGTTGTAGAAGGGGCAAGACTTGACGTAATTGAAAATTTTGAAGATTTTAATGAATGATAAAGAAAGAGCAGTCTTGTTGGACAGATGACGTACGGACAAGGTGATTGTTGAGGATAGCTGGAGAAAACAATTGGAGAAGTAAATGACACCAACCTTGACGGCATGAATGAGGGGATTGTAACAGTTCTCAATGAACAGAACGCAAAATTCTTTGAGGAAAAGGCGAATACTCAAGGTTGACCTGTGACAAGGAAACAAAAAAAAGCCTTAAATGATTGCCTTTCAGATAAACTTTAGGTATTAAAATAAAAAGAAACACCATGCACATGACTAATACTAAATGAGCTGTCATCGGAAAACTTTTAAAGCATTTTCACTATTATGAAATAAAAAGTTTCTTAGAAAATGGCACAGGTGCTCTTTATCATGGAACAGGCTAACGCAAGAATTTGGTACAAAATAACCTTGATAGTTACTGATCATTTTTAGGAGCTATAATGCAGAAGATAACATGGCTGTGTATTAAAAAGGCACCTGGCTGACAACTTTAATATTCCTCATTTAAAAATGACACAGCAGCAGGGATAGTTCATACAGTAAATACATACAGTGATATCTTTCCGAGTCCTGGTGTAAGAATAAAGATATGATGAAAAGACTCCACTCCCCCCCCCCCAAAAAGCCGAAGAATACCTTCGTGTGAGCGACGTGTCCTTCATTGGCATCCGGTTCTTGGGTTTCTTCTTGGGTTCCTTCTTGGTGTCAAAGGTGATGTTGCTGGACTTCTGAACAGCGGCATGGTATATGATGTCTCGGTCACTGATGGATTTCATATTCTTCACGCAGAATGTTCCACCGAAACGAGAGTGCCTGGGGAAGATAATTGAGCATGATCCCCAGACTCACCAAAAAAAGCTTTCAATGTCATCAAGAAATACAAGAATTAAATTTCCATTGTTACCGATGCAACCTTTTAACATCTCGGAATCTCAAAACAGAAACGTTCTTGATAGTAGGGCCACTAAGTAAGGAGTGACTGGCGGCATAATTAACATGGTGCAAATATGGTGGGACCGAAGTCTGCTCAAAATACATAATACACATACAAAATAACCACTTTGACCTCTGACCTTGCACTGCTGACCATGATCTTTGCTCTCTTCTCAGCCAGCTCCCGCTGTCGGATCATCTCCAGTTCCTGCTCATCTTTCTGTCGCTCACTGGCCAATCGTGCCTCCCCAGCCTTGGCAACTTGTTCTGGGGTCTGCAAAATAATTTCAGAGGTTAGGATGACGTTACAATATAAATTCAAACTGCCCTTGGAGAAGGTTGACTGCTTCCCAAAAAGTGAGGAGGGGGGCATGGGTAAGCAAAGGCAAGCACACACGAGGGCCTCTACAACAAAATCAACAATAAGTGTTTAAGAAGGGGGTGCATGTCCCATCATCCCCAGCAATCAACATCCAAGCAAACTACTTTAAGGTTTGAAACTTGACCAACTTCAGCAGCAAGAGTACCCATTTCCCTTGCATCCCTGCACAAACCCTCCTTCTCTTACAATTTACATGTAAAATGTCCAAATGTAGGAAAGTGTTGCAGCGTAAAGGTTAACCCTAACACTCCTCAGTCCTCCAATAGGTGAAGGATTGAGGAGTGTTAAGGTTAAACATGTTTTCCAAATCCTCAGCCTTTTGCCTTTCCATGTTTAACACAAAGGTAAAATACCAAGAGGTACCTAGGGGCGCAGTGGCAGTGCACACTTTTTTCAAGGGGCACTGAAGCAAATTAAAAATTACTTCTACATAAGTTCTGTAAATTTCAAAATTTCAAATGGGGAGGGGGAAGGGAGGGGTAACAAACTTTCACGGGGAGGGGGGGGGCTGATCATCCCCTATATAATAGAAGTCTTATGGATTATACATCAAAATCTGACAGTTGGATAGGTCAGTGTATTTTCCTGTACCTGTTCTCGGAACATGAGAGAGATGATTTCCACAGCATGCATACACCACTGCTGTTCAGCTTCCGAGCTGGCAATGTAGAGGATCAGTTTATCCATGCCGCTCATATTGAGCGCCCACAGAACCTGGTCATGGACGCTGGCATCGTCATCAGTGCGCTGATGAGCGTGAAGGTCGTGAAAAGAAAAGTACACTTACAATCACAAAGACCTGGACGGCGATATTGCCAGTAATGGAAAAGACCGATCTAAGGGAGCTAGATGGAATCAATCTGCTTTTTTTGTACAAGGCTTCATCTTCAAAAATTAATTTAGTGAGAAAAAAAGGCAGAGCAAAAAAAGGAAAAAGGTACAAGGAAAATGAAGGCAGTGATTTGATCAGATTGATAAGCGAAAAGGCCACCTTGAGAGGTAAGAGACTTAAACCCACTTCCTTTTATTGCAGGCAGGGTAAACTTATGAAATCAAATATTTTTTGAAAGAGAACTACTAACATTAACTTCTTTTGTCCATTGTCCAGATTTTATGGAAAGGAATCACAATTTCAAAATACAATATTCTACAAATCTAATAAAGGATAAGATAAATCCATCAGTTCCATTTTTTGGGCAGTTAAGTGGCTGCATGGTATCTCCCAACCACAATGGACCTGTTTGTTTCACACGGATCCGGATCATGATCACTGATCTGACGTTGGTTCACCGACACCAGAGCCTACCTAATGGATTGCGCGAATCAGCTTAAGGATCACTGATCAAGATCCAGATCCACGTGAAACAAACGGGCAACTAGATGGACAACCACAACTATGACAGTGACAATGACAATAACTGGAGAAGAGAAGCTACAGCGAAATATTACCTTTTCATAGCCAGGATCTGCAGGAACATGGAGGATGTTTCTAATGAGAAGCAGAATCCGTTCCATGAGTAAGGTGTGCTCCTCACGACGGCTCTCCCACTCCTGAGGCAAAAGTTGACAACAAACTGAGCTACAACTAGACGCGCAATCAACCCACCACTCTTTACTGTGGCAAAAGCATATGGCCCTGCATAGCTCTGATATGAAATCCAGTAATTATTATCTGTCCACACCATGTGTGGCTCTGTATGGCTTTGGCCGCAGATCAGTTTTTACCTGAATGTGCACACCAATTAGCATCCACACAAATGAACACACCTGTAAAGTACAGATGCTAGGCACAGGACTAAACTCTGTTTATTCCCCTTTAATTTCCTCCTCTTTGCACAAGCATGTGCAAAGAGAAAACATGGACGATCCTCCCTTTCTCAAACGCTACTTGCACAAGGGTTAAACCGGGAGACTGCTTTTTCAGGTTGCAAATGCCCAGGGCATGCAAAGCTCATTATTTGCAGATTTCTGTCACGCACCAAGTCCAAGAGTTTCTTCAGCTTGCGGGCCAGGAGTCCCATCAGCTCCTCGTCAGCAAATGCCTCCTTGTAGGACTGCAGGTGAGAGAGGACCTCCAGGAAGTAATTCCGGAACATCTTGTCCTCGGGGACTTTTTGAAAACATATCTCTGGTGATTGAGTTAGGTTAACTAGAAGCCTGTGTTAAAAAAAAATCAAGTTCATTAAGTCTACTGAGAAACTTGTTAAGCCCAGTTTTGATATATTTGATGATGCACAGAAGTATTGGCTGATGCTTTCATATTCAAACCAAACTTGGGTCAGAAACCAGCTGCAGGGTACAAACCGATCCAGCGATCACAATTAGATGCCATTACTGAGGTGACTGGGTTAAATTAATAGGAAGCCTTTTTTCTGAAAAAAAAAGCAACTTCATAAAGCCTGCGAGGAGGAGATGTTGGCTGATGTTGAATTCAAATAGCGTCACATTCAAAGCCAGCTCAAGGCCACAGACGAACACAACCACTACAATTAGAACTGTCACTAAGGTGGTACCACACACACACACGTGCACCTGGTGGCACATGCATGTAGAACACCCCCTTAGACAAGGACGTTGTAACTTGTCACAATTTAACGCTAGCATCAAACTTTAAGAATGCACTGGTAAGCCAACAGACCTGCCAACCTCTCAGATCACAATTCAGATTCTGAAAATTCTAAAGTCATATTTTTCATTAAAAAATCGCATTTTGAAAAAAATGAGTATATTCTTCACATAATCATTTGACCATTTGTCTGGATTGGGTCTAGTCCAAGTAAATCAAACTAGATTGGGTCAACACTTCCTGACGCATAAAATAATCACAAAAGAAATCCATTATCGAGGTTAAAGACTGAAATGACCTTATTCCCAACTGATTTTACCACGTTTTCAAAATCTGAATTCTTGAAATGCACATCGCACGTCCAGGCTTTTGGAATTTCCTGGTGCGGATTTTGTTGCCTGCCCGCTAGCCGGCCATAAAATGTCTCTGTCCTTGTTTATTTAACTTGATTTATTTAATTTGATTTATTTAACTTGAGGATTGGTCTTGTCAAAGATTCCATCCAAATTGAACCGTTTTTATAAAATTTACACACTGATGTTGCACTGAAAAAATTGTTTGAAATCTCGTAAAAAACAATGTAAATAGAACATGTAAAAGCTGTGCATTAATGTACGTCACAAGTTCTTTGCTTCGCGCCAGTTGCCCTCTATCTATCGGCAAAAGCGGAAAATTTACTAACCTTATTTCAAGCCGCATATTCACGGTGGCTGTGAAATGTGTGCTACATAAAATACTGGAGATTGTTTGTCACTTCTTCCACTGACGCACAAGCGGCTTTAAAGAGTTCCACTAATGCTCCGTGAATATTGATATTTCATGGGCAGCCAATCACAACATCATGATCGGGTGGTTGCCGGATGCTATTTACACAAGGTTTGTACACGTGTGCCGTGGTGCAGGTCCTGTAGGCTTGTTGTGCATTGTTCATGTACAAATGCATGGTGTACATGTACATTCGCAGCTGTTTTTTTTTCTAGTGTAACGTTCACTCGCAACCATTGAACTATTTCTTTCAGGTGCGTCAAAATGGCCGAATCTGTATTTTTGGGGGAGATCATGTTTTCAAGAATTTCCCGTAGAAAATATGGCTAAATCGTACTATGTAGTTGGCAGGTCTGAGCTAAGTAGCACACCACAGCAGTAATGGCACTGTCAGATTAGTCTACACGTATAAATGAAAAAGAATTGTAATCAGGTATGATCGGCAATATGACAGCAGTGTATAAACAAGACGAGGAGAGGAATGGTCCTAAATGTACCAATTGCAACCCATATGAAACATGAAATGAAGGTTAGTAATACAGATGAATGAAATAATCAAACAGCTTATCTGTGGACCTTATGCAAGTTTCGAACAGCTCGGTATCCTTGTGGTACTGCTTGGTGATATACAAAAGGTCATTCTGGAGAATCTGTGCATTGCCAAGCTGGCGACGGATGTCGCACGTCTCATCCTCTCGACGAAGGAAACGAATCAGATCTTTCAATGTCTCTAGGGAGACAAATAGTAGAATTGAATTAGATTAGGTTAGAATTAGATTCAAAAATGTGGAAATATTCTAAAGGGATAATCTAAGTGCTTCTTAATGAAAAGTTTTACAAAACTCAGAATGTACAATTGATTTCCAAATGAGATGCACATATAAAGTACCTCCATAAAAATTTGAGACCCTCCAACTTCTATAAAAATTACACCTTACAAAAGGGACACATGAAAAAAGTGAGAATGTCAAGTAAACTGTAGTTAGGGCATCATTTCTCTATATTTTTTCCAGATTTCAGAATTTTCTAACCTCAAATCTGTGGATTTTTTAAAATCATTTGGCTTTTTCTATTTTTGGGGGGCACTTTCCACACAAACCCAATTGAAATATTTGCATAACAACAGCCATTTGGAGAGAACTAACGCCTCAGTAGTAATCAAAAAAGCCCTGAAATGTCTCCATATTTGTTAAAAATTCTTATGACCCTGGTCCTGGAGATTTAACAAATTTCTTTTCATCCCTTGATATGTGCTAACTTTTTTTCATTTCCAAGGATGGATTTGTGCCAAGGAGATGTTACGGAAGTCGTGGGTTTGAGTCCCCCCCCCCCAGTATTCTTGTGGATTTTTTCACAAGCCTTTGGGGGCAAACACTGAGCACACAGTGTTATAATACATGTTGAGCGGGGCAAAAAAATCCAAAATTAATTTCTCTCATTGTTAGAAACAGAGGGAAAAAGTTTTTTTAAAAGATACCACTTGAACAATGGTAGTTTTCTACTCTTGGTCAACCATGCCAACAAAAGGAATTAAAACTAAAACACAGGTTGACTCAGGAAATTCTGATACATTCAGCTTTGCTTCTGAGTCTCTACAAGTGAACATCTACTTTCATCTAAGTTTGCTGTTCGCAAATTATATAATTGCATACTTTTGCATCATGGAGATTATTTCCCCCACACCTTGAACTGAACTGTGTACAAGTACATAATGACTGTCAATTAAATTAATACAGTTCTGATGAAATTTCTTCATACTCTCTCCTAAAAATGTAACAACCTCACTTGCAAATTGTCTACATTATAAAACCTCTTTGATGTCTCACAATATTGGTATTTTCCATAGCACACACTTGTGCAAAGTGATTTCAGCCACTGCCGGAGACTGTGAATAAACTTTGCACTTTGAACTGTGACAACAAGAATCTGCACTTCCTTTGTGTTTCCTTGCATCTCTGTGTCTTACACAGTGTACTGGTGTAATTCCCTACCTCATCTCGGTTGAACAAACTCACCAAGGCAGTCGGGTTCCTTCTGATAGGTGCTCCCCTCTAGGCATCCCAGAGCGCTGCAAGCCGACAGCAGCTCCACATTCATGGCAGAGAACACAGACTCCATTACTTACTGACTGGTTGTGCCAGCTCACTGTTGACCTGTTACGCGCCTGGGAAAAGTGAGTCCACTGAGTGAGTCTTTGCTACCTTGTGCTACTGGGACTGTTTTGTCTAGCTCGAGTCACACCAGCTCTAAAACCAGCATGGCATAGGGGAAATTCAGGTTTTGGGCTGGGACCCGGTACATATCCATAACTGCACAGTCCACTCAGAATAAACCTACCCAAAAGTTAAAAGCAAAACAGGTGTTAAGTAAACTGACAATCTGATTGAAAACATAACAAAAAGTAAGAAGTTTGTTTAAGTTAATTTAATCATTGCTGGGCTTGACCTGGTTCATGTTTGCCATGTTTGCAACATGTGGAGAAACATTGTTCTTTTCAATGATATACTTTTCAAGGAGACTTACATGCAATTTCAAGTAAAAAATGTCTGTTGAATTTTTTTTTCAATAGAATGATCCTGATCATAGGTGCGGCCATTTTGATTTTCAACATGTGATGTCATGATCTCATTTTTCCTCATTTTTCGTGCGACAGTTTGGTCCATGTAAACATTTTTGCAAGATTTGGACAAAGAATGAAACAAGCTTTTGGATGGCACTGAACTTGGACGAATTTGGTGCATTTTGAAGTTGTGAATCAAAAAGCGATTTTTCCCCCATAACTTGGAACATTTTTCAGTGAAAACCTACTTAAAAGGCGGTTGAGGAAAATAGAAAGATTGATTTTGGGGAACTTTGAACACTACCCAATACAATGGTATAGAAATTGTGACACCTTTATATGTCGCACTACCCCACCGCAAAAACGTTTTATAAAAATGTGTCATTTTGGATTATGCCTGTAAAATGTATTTCAAGGCTGAGCGCGTATTGTAACATGGAATGGGCGTCTGAACTAAAATTACAACAAAAGTGTTTGTGTATAGGTTTTGATGAAAATAGGTGACTATTAGCCTAATATGCCTTGCCTTGGCTTTTTATTAGTTTAACAAGTTTCTTTCATTGGACTAATTAATACAAAAAATGATATATAATTACTAAATAGAAAAACTTTTTGAGCAAAAAAAAGGAATGCACAAGTGGCATTGCTCTATACATGCGACACTGCTCATTATTTGTTCAGACTTTTGTTTATGCAACAAGAATTGTACACCAACAAACAATGATAATGTGGGGCTGTTCTTTCTGGTTCTTCTGATACCAGATTTGTTGAAGTGTTTCTTCAAAATGTTTGAAAAATTTCTCTTGAAACAAATGTGTGTGAAAATGGAAGTGGTGACAAAAAATGACCCCCCCTTAAATTTTTCATTAATTTTGCCATAGGCTTAACACTGTAATCATCATTTTATAAGCTTTCCAATGACACTAAATTTGTTGAATTCCTGAAAAATGCAAAAAGTGTCGGACTCCCTACTTGAACTTCAGTCTTTAAGCCTAGGCCTACATCAAACAGGCCTATGCCTGAAATTTAACTATTTTTAAGCACTAGGCTATATGATTAGAACATGAATACATGTATCTCCCACACTTTCAGACTGTATCAAAAAGGTTCAGTTAGGCCTATTTTTATTGTGTTGCTGCAAAAAAAGGAGGAAAAGATGCAAAACCCGGCCTGTACAGACATGACAGAGTGAATGGAACAACCTCCGACCACGAGAATGGCAAGAGCTACCACAGACCTGGAGGAGAAATCCAGATTTATCATGTCAATGTATCATTATCAATATCATATTATCAATCATCATGTGTAACGTTGTCGTTAGATTACGGTACCACGGTACTAAGTTAGGGTCTATGGTGCACTGTGCAGCCATGGCGCACCGCAGTATCGCGCAACTTACCACTCACTGATAAGGCCCAGCCAAGAAAGCGTTTGACAGAAGAAAACACTAATTCCCTCGCACCCTATTTCAATGAAAATGGAGTGTGCGCAATTGCTGTGCAAGTTTTAATTTAATTACAAAACTTAGACACATCTCACCAACAATTGCTCAGCTACCTCAGCTCAGCTCACCGAGATCACGGTGCGCGAAAATCTAAAGTTCCCGCGAAGATCGGGTCATTCACCTTTCACCTTTTGCAATCTAAGTCATCAATTTTTCATACCTTTTCCATTAATATAATGTTAATCGATTGAAAGAGAGAAGATAAAAGGGAAAAATTATAATAAGTTGTATTTACTATAATTCATTTTAAAATATCTATTTTGAGAAGTTTTTGCAACCAGCATTTACAGAATTATTTCTTGACGTTGAACAAGGCTGAAATATACTGTTGTTTATATAATTTAAAATATCCAGTAGGATGATGCATGGCTTGGTGGCCAAGTGGTAAGGCGTCTGTCTCGTAAACAGAAGATCGTGGGTTCGAACCCCATCCAGGCCTTCAATTGTTTTTATCCTTTTCCAGCTTCAATTTTCCTCAAGTTTTAATAAATCTTCACAGTGTCATGGAAAGGAAGGAGTGTCCTCGTGACATTCTCCTTTTTATGGTTTACTAGGATGCAGTTATACATGTATTGCTTTTTCAGCACCATCAGGATTCTCGCGGTTCGGATTCCTCCATGGTCGGACAGTGACGTCACGCCGACCGCGAGAAGGCAAATGCAATGGTGTACTGAAAAACAAAACTTTCCAAAAACAATCCGTCAGGTCAACAAGTCTACTCACTCTTCCACACCGCAAACAAAATTTCCCTGAAATTTCATAAAATAAGGCACTGCACAACGCAAAACGAGATTCAGCGTCTCATCCAGGTAGTTACTTGCACAGCGTAGAGCTTGGGCGCCTTTTGTTTGGAAGCTCTAACAAACCAAATAAACTTTTAGCTGTCATTTTAATCATCAAATTTCAACATTTTGCTTCTAAGTTTGCGTGTGAGTGCGAGAATTCATTTTTAAGCGTTAAATCCAGCCAGGAATTAAGTCCAGCTTTTCAAAAACCCTTGATGACTATGAAGAGGAATGTACAGTAGGCCTAAATGGGGTAAAGAACAACATGGCATACATGCTTCTTTTGACCAAAGATGGTATAGCGCCGAAGGCGCAAGATGGATAACTCTGCCCAAAGGGTGTAATTACCATAGGCGCCATTTAAGCAAGCGATACGCCTGCGCAGTTTACGGTAATGCATGCACGTGCCTGCCGCGCGCGCGGCGCCCGCGCCTTTGCACTAATGTGCATTGCGCAGGCGTATCGCTTAATGCGCCTATGCAATTACGTTTTACGTGTATTGTGAAGTTTGCTACCTTGCGCCGCTTCGCAGCACTATACGATCTTTGCTTTTGACACAGTTACATGCAGTACATTTGAAGGAGAGTTAGACAGGTTGTTTTCTTGTTACCACTCTAAGTTTCAGACTCAAACATCAGGACAATTGAGGCTGGTGCTGACATTAGTTTTGGACTGTGGTCCGGCTTTCGAAGATTGTAGACGTTATTCATTTTATTGAGAACTTTACAGTTAATCGTGGTAATAATCACAATATAATTGACAAGAATATACACTTACATGTACCAACAACCTGCAGTTTTCCAGTAGATAACCTTGCTTACTCTGATACAATTCACTGAATAAAATCAGCTGGCTATGGAGTGTAAAGGGAGCTTTCACACACTGCTTTATCTCCAAAATTAAACTTAAACAACATTGGGATTCACAATGTACAGTGGTCTTTGTTATTCTGTGCAGCTCTGTTGGCCACTGCTCCCTCCCTCTCTGCGTGACAGGTCGTGATATCAATTTAAGCACTTGGCTTTAAAAAGTGATTGGTCAGTTTTAAAGTTCTATGTTTTAAGTATTAAAACGGCACACAGAGTCATGTGAACAGAAGACCATTCTATCAAATGAATAAAACAACAAATACCACAAACACTAAATATGCCCCATTTCAACTACATCTACATGCATTTATCCCCTATGAACTCTGTCCATTCACGCTGGGTTATGCTCTTTAAAACACCTGAAAATGCAATACTGTACATTTTATTTCCAACTTAAACACACACATACATCATAAAAACAGAGGGGTAAATTTAAGTTAATAAATGAGTGCAATAATCTTAAAGTAGCTTTTGCAAGGTGTAAATCAAGAAAGACAGCAAAAATTCCCTCGTGTAAATCTGCAGGAAATTCACTATAATGCCCTGATAGTCAATGAAAATGCAACAGATCATTCTGAAAATTGGAACTTCAAAACATTGTACCACCTCTCCTGTTGTAAGTTGTGGGCACGGGGTGAACCAGACACTAGCCATTTCATTCACTTGACACATTTGTGATTTAATGTATCAACTGATCTTGGGCAGGCCACATTACTGCAGTACCTTGAGGAAGGCAAGAATAAATTTAGGAAACGAATGGTGCATTTTCACTAACTGTCAGTGTACACATTTGTAGATATTTCACCTCCTCCGTATTCAAAACTTAGTTTTCCATTGCAACTGCAAAACAGAAAAGCTTTCTTTTGTAACTGCACAGTTAAAACCAATTTGGAATATACATGTGAAGAACTGAATCAATTGCTACGTGTTTCACTTCCGTTATTAACCCTAACCTTCCCCAACCACACAGAATTAAACAGTAGTAAAGTGTTTAATTCTGTGGGGATAGGTCTGGTAGGCCCATAACAGCTGGCTTTTGCATTGGGTTTGGCATACCTCAGAGTCCAATAGCCCCTGTGCACAAAGTCCTATGTGGGTGTTTAACTTTGTGTGAATGGGGAAGGTTAGGGCCAGCAACCCTTGGGGGGTTAGGGTTAATGATAGAAGATTGTGACAATCTCCTGAATTATGTGGGAGGTAGAATTAAACAACACAATTTTCATGAGTGAAAAAAAAACAAGCTTAACTATGGCAGCCCAAGGGTTTACATAATCAAAGCCATGCCTGGCCTTTAATCAAGCCGATCATGGTAATCACTGAATTTTAGTCTACACTGTGTGGCATGCATGGCACTTGATCAATGACTACCATGGATTTGATTTACCATCATCCACAGCAACCGCCTAAAATGCCAACTTGCTTGCTGGTGCTTTTGTATCTCTTTTTACTTTTGCTACAGATTTTGGTGGCGAAATTAATCTTCAAGGCAGGCAAGCTGTCTTGTTTTGACAAATAATTAATTTAATTATTTGAATTATTCCACAGGAACTTGAAACGAATCCTTGGCAACCAAGTTGGTAAAGGCATTCATGATAGCAAGCTGCAAATCTCACCAACTAGTCTTCTCTCAACGGCCATGCATGCCACACACATGGACTAAAATTATCACCGTGATCACCTTGAAATACTAAGCTGGGCCACCTTCAGAAACTGCTGAAGTAAACATGATTAAACCATTCATCACCAGATGCATGTAATGCAAGTCTTGTTTTTATTCTGTCAGTCACACCACAAACTAAGTTATCATGGATTGTTGCTGCGCTGTGAACTGTAATACAAAATTGTAATGAGTCAAACTGCTGGGCTATCACTTCGTGGTACACCAAACTATTATCGCTTCATGGTATGACCAAAACTTTTTTACAATACCTTTCGGAAGCGGAAACAATAAAATGCTGTGGAGCAGTGACACAACTCTGAAATGCCAGTGGATTTAAGATTGGTTCTCAATCATCTGTTCGACACCACGGTGCATTCACAGCAAGCAAGTTTCGCATCCAGCCTGCATGATACAGCCTGGCCAGTGTGTGGTGTTGCAAAAAGGTGGGTCCAAACAAAACAACGCCAAATGCCATTCTGTTTGATGCCTCACCAACGTCATACGAACATGGTTGCTTTCAGACAGCATACCTAGCGAGTGAAACCATGCAGGTGTTCTCTCCATTCAGTTTTCTGTCATTCTGGTTGTGCATGGCTTCACACTCCACCTCCACAACAGACAAACCCTAAGCAAGTGCGGCTACTACAGATCACGTGCGTGCTTGTTGAGCAGCTCAGGAAATTTTTTGAGCTGCCCAGAAAGAAAGCCGGGAACCGGTCACATGAGATACATGCATTCGCTGGGCAAGTGTTTTCTTTGCTTAGCCATTTATGTGTGCTTTATATCAGCCCTATATATTAAGGCCTGTCCAAATTACTCGGCTATTGCTTGAAATGACACAGGAGTCTATGAATGTGAATGCAGTCACTTCTCATAGAGTTGTGTCTTATTTGAAGCCGCAGCCAAGTAGTTTGGACATGGCTATGTACTGGGTCCAGGCTTGATTGGAACCAATCCTGTTTGTCCAAATCCTAGATGTTCTCAATGCTCACACACTCAGCATAGACTTCTTCCGAACCACCGCATGAGGACGATATTACATCACAATGCACCTGGAATCTACAAATTAATACTGTTGAGTTACTTTAAGATGTGCCCATGAAACAGCAAAGTCTTTTGCTTGCAGGCAAATTAAATTCCCATAAAATACATACAAATGCCCAGTACAAAATCCAATTGCAAAAAATGCATAACTTTTGTTCAGAAACAACAGAGCTACAAAGGAATTATGGCTGGATTTACGTCTGTGGACATAATAAGACAAAGGAGTCTGATGGTGGGGGCTCATCATTACCTTCTCCTCTCCACTTACAATACAACCCTTTATGCAATGTAAAAATTCAAAGAGTAACACTGTAATGCACGGTACAATGAGGAAGATACCTGTAACACGCTCGTCATCGTTGAATATAATTTAAGCAAACAATACATAACATTTAAACCCGGGAGTAGTATTTAATTGCCGGATTCAGTCCTGAAGTGGGACTTATTGGGTTTGGCATTGCACACCCCCGCCCCGCCCACCGTGATAGTCATCCTCGTCCTCGTCATAGGCATTGCCATAGCGACCTTGCCCATGGTGGCGCTGGGGATCATAGTCCGTCAGGTTGACCTCCATGGCATCGTCGCCCACCATGTACTCGGGCCGCTCGGGCAGGATGGCCTCCAGCTTGGGGATGGCCTCAGCGGGGATCTGGCCTGTCTGGGGGAAGTTGACTGTGAAGTGGATGATGAGACGGCCCTTGTCGAAGGGCGAGCGGTAGGTGGGCATGCCCTCGTTGTGGACCACCTTGATGTCATCGTGCTTGATTACATCACCTGTGATTCAAGAGACATGCCCAAGATTTATAAATAAACCGAGGGGATCCACCGTTGTACCCTGCGTGCACTCCCTCCATTCAGATTCAATGTAATCAATGCTTCTCCAGGGAGGGTTAGGATTGATGAAAACAAATCTGCGAAGGTCCAGATTTCACAATCTAAGTCAAGGGCAATGTGAGCTCATCTCTTCTCCACCACATTCTGCTAGCATTTTCTCTAAACTTCATGTAGAATTCATGGCAGGTGGGGTTACATTTATACACAAACTCAACGGAAGTAGGACATTAAATGGAAACACTTTCATGCACTGGTGGCGGAAGCATTTTTTTCAACTGGAGGGCCACCCCTCCACTTTTTGCAGGTCCTTTAAGTGGGTGGGGCTTAATGGATAAACCTATTAATGGCTGACGCCCAATGGCCTAACAGCTGCCCCCCCCCCCCACTTTGAAAATCATTTTGCTGCCAATGCTCTCTTGAAGGTTCAATCACGGACCACTTACCCAGGGATGTGCAATTTAAGCTCAGAGCTGGTTCAGTGCGTGTTACGGCCAGCACAATATCAAAGCAGAAATTAAGTTGGATAAAACACTTTCTCTAATAATAGGGCTTCTCAGTGCCATGGAAAACACTGGAAGCAATCATGAATTTAATTAGACAATTCCCAGAAAAGTCAAAAGAAGGGCTCAGAGAAGGTTGTTCTGGAAGTGGCCGGAAGAGCTGATACGAAGTGGGAATCACCAAATTACAAACTGAATAGTGTGACTCAGACAAGGGATGAATCATGCTTCCTGACAATGTCTGGAGGTAATATCACAAGGCTTTAGACCTCTGGGCTGCTCAGAAATGATGTCTGATTTGTGCATTTGATCGGTTACCAGCCAAATGTGTGTTTACAACACACACAGCTTTCAGATGGTTGCCGGTAACACAATGCAAACAGAGGAAACATGATGTTAAAGCAGAATTGTCCAATGAGTGTTTTCTTTCTTCCACTCATGCAATTAAATTTCCCTGGGTTAATCCATTTTGTCCTGCTGAAAAATTTTACATGGAATTAGATACATGATGTAAATGCTGGGTACAACAGAAGGACAAGGATATTAATTTACAAAACTTTTCAGGAAGAAAAACATGTCAAATGGGCCAGAAACTGGAGTGCATCTTCTTTCTAGAAAAATATGTTCTTCGAGCAATACACTGCCACATCTCTCAAAACTAGTGTCACTGAAATTCAGAGAGCAACATCACTGAGAGGTTTGCCGGGCTAGAAAAACAAGGTAGATAAACTGACTTACCTTCATGGGAGGTAATGACTAATTCTCGATCGTCCAGTGTCTTTATAATGCGCTTAAAGCCACAGAGGGCTTCCACCAGCTCTATCCTCAACTCTGTGACAAGATCACGGCCTTTCCTCTTGAAAGTCTGGATGAAATGCACAAAAACAACGATCAGCACAGCACGGCCTCTAAGCATGCATGCAAGAGGGAGCTTTGGTCATCTGGCATGGGTGCACAACTTAGTATTTGAGGCCCAGTGCGTCATCTGGCATGGGTGAACTACTTACTATTTGAGGCACAGTGCGTCATCTGGCATGGGTGCACAACTTAGTATTTGAGGCACAGTGCGTCATCTGGCATGGGTGCACAACTTAGTATTTGAGGCAACGTGCGTCATCTGGCATGGGTACACAACTTAGTATTTGAGGCACAGTGCGTCATCTGGCATGGGTGCTTAACTTAGTATTTGAGGCACAGTGCGTCATCTGGCATGGGTGCACAACTTAGTATTTGAGGCACAGTGCGTCATCTGGCATGGGTGCACAACTTAGTATTTGAGGCACAGTGCGTCATCTGGCATGGGTGCACAACTTAGTATTTGAGGCACAGGGTGTTCAATTCATTTTCATCTGATAATACACAAACTGCAAACAATCTTCCAAAAAGCAAAGAACACAAAGTGATAAAGTTATCAGCCTGCCATCTCTTTTCGTCATCAACCAGAGAGGTATTTGTCTGCTGCTTCTATACGTAACATGCAAAATTATGAAGGAAGCCTCAGCAAAACTATTGCTCTTGTTTGAGAAAAACTATTCATCTGTGAAAGTCTCTCTTCTGAATTTATTTGCAATTTATTTGCAATACTACTTATTTGCAACAAGTATTTGTGTGAGTGCTATGGGCTTAATGCTTGGGAGAAATATTGCTTTTTCTTCCTCATTCAACCCCAGCCTCCCTGTCAAAATCCTACCCTAAATTGGGTATAATATGGAGCTATTCATTACATTGGGTTCATAATCCTACTTCTGTGGAATGCTCAGAGTTTTAATGTTCTTCGCCCCAACTTCACGAAGGTTTTGTGCAAAAATGCGAATGAGAGTCTGGCATTCTGTTCCGATGGGCAAAAATGAGTGTTTTGAGACACGGTGGTGTTTACATCAAAGAAACGTTCCAGTATAAAGGAAGGTAATCTTTAAGATGTGAGGCAAGTCAGGCACCTTGTGGGGCTTCTCCTCCAGTAAAATGATGATGTCGCCTGGTTCCAGACCGGGTTCCTGGTCCCCTTCCCCATGGAATGTTATCTTCTGACCGTCCTTCATTCCTGTGCAGAGAGAAACACACAAGAACACTCAGCAGTTCTGCACAGGCAACAAAACCGGGGGGCAGGTGAAGGGGAAAGGAAGGGAGATCAAGACTAAGCGACAAGCCATAGTCTAGGCAAAGACAGTATTCAATGACCTCAAGGGAAATGAGAAAGTCAGGTTAATCCTCTAAAACCTCATCAAGTCTGGCGTCATCTCTGTGTCAGGTTGGCCATTACCTGTCTGCTTACAACTCTGATTACCATCAAGCTTTTATACAAATGAACCTGACAAGATCCTCTTTCATTTCTTGCAGAAAGGTGCCAATATAAGTGCAACAATACCTGTGAGGCCACAGCGTTGAAACATGATTACAGTGCAATCATAGCTTTTTAGTCTGAACTTGACGCAAGTAAGTCGAGCAGGACCTTCAACAGCAATTTCAAAGAGTAGGTAAGCACACACATCTGACAAGATGTGGCGAGCCTTGACAAGCAGAAAACAGGCACCACCCAGGTGAATAAATGGGTACGGGGCAGCAGGCAGGCATGCCATCTAAGTGAACACCAATATTCTCAGTCATTTCATGCGTCTCAAACTTGCCACAAATGCCCGCCTAGTGGGCCGCAGTGGCTTGAGGCAGGAGGTGCTTACTTTATTCAAAATGGCAAGAGGTGCACATGGCAGAGTACAGAGATACAGGTCAAGGCTGGCCAGATCCTGTGCAGTACACATGAACTGACTTCCATTCCCTCCACCCACCTTTGTCTATGTGGACCTCCAGGATTTTGGTGTTCTTGATGATTTTCTTCCCTAGGCACTGTTTGCAGCGGTCCTTAGGATTAATCTTCTCCCCCTGGCCCTGGCACTCCCCGCAGCCCGTCCGCATCTGTTGCACCATGCCCGGCCCAATGGGGCGGATGTGCACCTGGACTCCCGTCCCCTTGCAGGCATTGCACGTCTCCACGGCACCCTTTTTACCTCCACGGCCTAGAAAAACAAGAAACAAACAACACAGTGCTGTTGTCAAGACCCCTTCATGCATCACACCACCATCACGCAGTCTGAATTCGAGTAAGAAGCTAGTGAAATGAACTGTAAAGAACGGCATTTCCTTGTCATTGCTAACCCAGCAAAGTTGCGGGTGGTCTTGAGTGATCTTAAGAATCATCCTGTGTCTAATCTTGTGATGGTCCTGACTACACCACTCAAACAAGAGCAAAAAACAAAGTATGAAAAAAATGTTTCCAACTTTGCAGAGTCCACTTTCTGAATAGATGAATACTTGGTGATCTTGTAAGTATCCTTTTCACTTATAATGCCCATTGTCATAAGAAAACAGAGATTTAAGTTTGCTCTTGGCAAATCAAACTAAGACAAACTCACTGAAAATATGGATTTGAGACTCATTTCATGGGATAAATTCTCACTGCAACTGAAATACAAAGGGTGGATTGACAAGGTCAAACTTGTTTTCAATGTACCTTCACACTTGTCACACACGACATTCTTCTTGAGGGCTAGCTTTCGCAGCGAGCCATTGTACATCTCTTCCAGCGTCACCCCCAGCTGGTGGATCACGTCCTTGCAGCGTCGCTCGTGCGTCCTCGAGTGTGTGCCAAAGAACATGTCAAAGATGTCCATGGGGTTGTGGGGACCGCCTCCACTCCCCTCCTTAAGCGCCTGCTCGCCTCCCTCATCGTAGATCTTCCTCTTCTTGGCGTCGCTCAGGACTTCATAAGCTTGGGAAATCAGTTTGAACTGCAAGGGAGAAACGAAACCCATCCGAAGTCATTTGGAAAACAGCAACACGTGCCCCCACGTCTGCCCTGTCAATGTGGACACAGACTGACTCCCATGCATGCTTTGTAACATGGAATGACCTGGCCTTTTCGTAATACTGAACTGACTTATTTGGTTGGCTCAAACTGTTTTGTTAAATGAAACACTTGTGCAAAGTACCTCGAAAAGCCCGAACCTTGGAACAAACGTAAGCATGCATAGTATCATACATGAACGATGGGACAATGTTGGGGGAGGACTGAGGAAGGTTAAGGTGACGTCCCAAGATACTTTTCTGCTAGGATGCAACCTCAGCCCTCCAAACTCCTCACACAAGTGCCAGCCTCCGTTTGTCCTCACCTTTTCTGGGTCATCGGGATTCTTGTCAGGATGGTACTTCAGGGCCAGCTTGCGGTAAGCCTTTTTTAGCTCGGTTTCACTGGCACTGGGCTTCACGCCCAGCAGGTCATAATATCCCATCTCCTTGACCATGCTGATGTCTCAATAGATCGCTATTTCTATCTGCAAGAAAAAGAGTTCAGCTTGATGTAACTAACGAGTATTTGGAAACAATCATTGTTTTGAAGTTCCGAAGAAAGTACTAAAGGCATCTTAAATATATTACGAGTTTTGGGCATCTTTTCATGCCAAGATTCATTTCGTTTTTGAACGAAAATATATTCTCTGTGGAATATGCTTCTTCAAATAAGCTGTAAGTTTATGGCTTCAAAAGCCATGCCATATTTTGCACACAACTTGAGTTCCAAAAGTTTTGTCCAAAGCCTTTAGGCAGACTTACTGTTTGTTAATCAATTCAACAAAGTTTCATGTACATGTACTCCTGTCGCTTGAATGATATGACTTCAGCATTGGTGAACAATGACGTTTCTCAGCCATCGGTTAACATTTTTAAGAGTCACATTAGACAATGGGAACACACTTGATTTTGGTCAGTTATTTCAGATGAGTGCTGCTTTGAAGGATAAACTTTGAACTTCCTCTTGTACAAATTTAGTATGCAGACAATTTCTTGGCCAAAAAAATTTCAGCCAGATTTCAGATTCACAATTTGAAATGTAGATGGAAGCCAAAAAATAGACCACAGATTTACTCACTAGGCCTACATGTCAATCAAAGTACAATTTTCATATTCAATAGTCTGATGGTCATATAAACTCTCACATCAAATGTCTATCCATGGTCTATCACAACAAAATGACTTAAACATCATTACCAAAATGGTGTAAATTCTGCATAAAGAAATTGAGATTTTCTTAAGAAACCTGACTAACATGACTAGAGTGCATTCTCTTGTCTTGTAATGTTAGTTACTCAATGTTAGTAACATTCTAACGTTGGTTAGACTAAGACATAAATTCCAACCATTTCCAACGGACTAGGTCTACTTACATCATGGAGGAATGCTTACATTAAACTTTAACTGACAGACGAAATAAGCACAAAATCCTAGACTGATAGAAGCAGCGGCTCGACGCAAATTAAATGGCCAGCACCTGTTCGAAGAAATAGCAAACTCACGCTCACGGGCTCGCGCATTGACTCAGATCCTGATTCTCTAGAATTTTCCTTACATGCTCGTTCCGTGCGAAAGTCCTTTGCCCGTGCTATGCTCTTCGCGATCGCAAGCATGTGTTCTTCCTCTCGCTGGTACCATGGTGCCCGGGATGATGTCGAACATCGAGCTAAATACGGGTACCAAGCATTATTCGGGAAAGTTCTTCCTCGTCCAGAGAGGGGGCTGTTTGTCCCTGTGCGCCAACCTACGCAGTTTGATCGATCGTGAAGTTCAAGTTGACAATGAATACAGCGCAAAGCAACTGAATGATGTAGAGATGCCGGGAGATTGGGTCCATACTGGGATGGGCCATTGGATCATCCAGTCTACTTTTTTTGGGGGGGGGAGGGAGGAGGAAAATAAGAAGAGGCTAGAAGCTAAAATGGCATTCTAAAATAAGATTCACGTAACCCTCCCTAATAGTTGGACAATGAGAGGGGAACGTCTGTGTCCCCGAAATAATTTTATAAAACGTAATGATGCAGCATAAATTTGAAAATTTTGAGAATAACCAGAATTAGTAGTAATCATGCAATAAGATGATGTTAAAGGTTGTTATTTGGGGCCTCCTTTTATATTTAGATATTTGACTTCTTCCGAATAGCTAAAGACAGTACGCTTTATATTAACTTACATATAAATGGAATCATCTGAAGTTCAGTCTCAGCGCCTACTTTTTAAAATACAGACAATCTTAAGTGTCTTTTCTTATGACATTTATATATGTTTAAAAACTAAGTTACTCTAGATGTAGTTGTTTTCAGTATTTGTTTTACTGATCTAGTTTTGTTGGTCTGGTTTTGATTATGGTTGAAGTAATCGAATCTACTTCAAGTTGCCGTTTCTTGCATAGAGTTTGTGCTGAGAATGACGATATTTTCTTTTCTAAGATTAATTTTGGAAGCATGATAACAAGCATTTAACTCTTCTGATGTGGGCGGACCAAAAGTGCCATCGGCAGATTACGAAAGAAAAATTGAGACATGATAGGTCTCACTACAATTCAGTTAAATCACGGTTTTAAATTAAGGTTTTTGCCGAAAACCGAAAATCCGACAGGAATCTGGATAAGTATGTTCCCATACCTAACCTTTATAAGACACGGTTGGTGGGGACGTGGAATTAATAGATATGCTGCATGTTTCGCTTATCGATGGATGGCATGTGCCCTGGCAAAATAGATCTCTTAATCTTAATTAATATATAAACTCGAAAGGATTCTCTAATTCTTTTTGCAACAAAACTAACGCACCAATGCACGCAGGCTTATAGTGTTATTTCTGGTAGGCCAAAATTATAAAGTAGGCCTTCTGCTCAGTCAAAAATATGCACTGCAAAGAATTATTAAATTCAACAGTTACCGTAACATGCAGACTCGAAGCTTGCTCTGAACACTTCCCACATTTATGCAGGCTCGACTGTGCTGGTATTCAGCCAAAGGCATATTGATTTTCAGAAGATTATAACCTATAGTCCATTAAAAATGAATACCGGTCGTTGGCTATAGGCCTTGTAAAGAGGTTTGCCATGGGAAACTGCTGTACATGTATATCAATGGCAGGTCAATCGGCAGATACTGTAGATTTTGTACGATTAATGCACTTTATCCTGGGACAGTTATAGAAGAGTATGCGATGCTTGAGCTTTGAAATCGGTCGCCAACATGTTTCAAACTAACATATACGAACAAGCATTGTAGGCCTAAGTCCTGTACCCATTCGTCGTTGAGTTCCAGCACGTTGTAATCACTCTTCAATTGATAAATCGATACAGGCTACGTGTACCTTGCATTGGGCTGGATATATAAAGTGAACACACACTCCTATCACAAGCATTGGACTGACCAAGGTGATCAGTGTGATGGGTAAGTCAAACCGAGTGGATAACAGAAATATGTTTGCATTCACTGTGGGCAGAAGGAAGTTTATGCCGCAGGTAAGCTTAGCTTATTAAGACACATGCACCATTCGTTTTCAGTCTGTGGAAATGTTATGTGGTTAAAACTTCTGTCATCCGTGACCGTTTTCCGTATTAAATAATGAGCAACGGTGAAGGGGGATAGTTGAATCACGCGGCCTGACATCATAGCTCATGTAAACTTACACGGTATTACATATTGGTATAACCCTCAAAATTTACACCAACTTTCTTCTTGTGAAATTACTGGATATCTCATCTTTTTAAATTCAATTAACCCTAACCTCATTTCAGGCCCATAATGCCAGAGTTAATCTAAACTCAAATCTCTTGAGTCTGGCTGATGCATCAGTGACGGCATAACGAAACAGTATGACACCATTGGAGCTTCAAGTTGCTGCTCCAGTGGATCGAGAGCTACGTCAACAGAAATCCTCTCTCTGTGCATGTAAACTACAACATGTCTACATGGTCCTTCTGATCATTGGAAATGTGGCTTTTTATTACGTCACTGTTTGTAAGCTCACTTTTGCTCTATTTCGTTTTGCTTGCTTATGTTTTCATTAAAAAACAAAACAAGAAATCCCCACACAATATGGCAACGAGCTATGAGTTTTTGATCATTTGAACCAATTTATTGCGTTTTTGTTAGAACGGTAGAAGAATGAGATTTAGGGGAGGCTTTTCCAAGTCAGAGGCACTATCGGACTGGCACCGCAAGGGGTAATAATGTCCTAGCAAGGACAGATGATACTCAACCCCCTGATTTTACGGTCGCGACCCTCATTTTTTTAGTTCACGCCCTCCCCCTTTTGAAAATCCTGGATCCACCCCCGGGAATTCATTTTACGTCACTTAAAGATATACCTCTCTGCCTTTTAAAACTTCATTGAGCCTTTTATTGCATTTCAGGGCCAAATATGATTGAAACGAAAACCACGTTTGAACGTCACTCCAGCGCATCTGCCAAACCTACCAACCACAGTCTCATACGGCCTCACTTTTCTGATGTCCATCGATTGAGAAAAATTCTTCCGGTGAGAAACACCTCTTTGCCAGCGTCTGAAAGTCAGGAAGTTCATGCGGTTGTAAAAGCACAAAGATCGCAACTTATCATCGTTTCACAGAAAAGATCGGGCTCATCTTTCGTGGGAGAAATTTTCAATCAACATCGGGACGTATTCTATGTGTCCGAGCCACTGAAATCTTTGACTACATTGTTTAAAAGAGACAAGGGGTCGTTCGACACAGCTGCGCATGATGTTCTGAATGCAACACTCCAGTGCGACTTCCAACGTATTCCCGTTGCTGGATGGGTTATTGAAAGATCATCTGTCAATACCTGTAGCCATGTCCAAGAAGATACGGTGTCGCTCAGACTCGGATGTAAGGAAGCCAAGAGTAGATACTGCGATCAACCTTATTTGAAAGTATCCGCCGACAAGTGCAGAATAAGAAAACACCTTGCAATAAAAACTATCCGCGTGAACGATTTAGGCCAGTTGAAAAGTTTCTTTACGACAGGAAAGCTGAACGTCACAGCGCTGCATTTGGTGCGAGATCCAAGGGGCGTCATGAACTCAAGACGCCTGTTAGGTGAAGCAAATCTAGATTTCCTTCGCCGGAAAGGTATCCACGGTGATGAAACGTTGGACTTATGCCAGCATATGGAACGAAATGTTGCCTTTGCCCAGCATGGTCCTGAGTGGCTACAGGACAACTACATCCTCGTGCGTTATGAAGATATGGCAGAACAACCTCACAAAATCACGGCTGAAATTTACAGGCATCTCGGTTGGGAAATGTCCGAAGCAATTACCAAGTGGCTTGAAGCAAACACCAACCACAACGCTGGAGGTGGATTTTCAAGGACAAGAGCTTCAAAAACTGCCGCACAGGCTTGGCGAAAGAAAATGTCTTATCTGGACGTTTCGCGTGTACAGACTAAATGCAAACGAATTATGGAAAAACTTGGGTATGTCATATTTACTTCAGGCAAGACGATGAGAGATTTGTCAGTGTCTAGCACCAAACCCATGTCATATGTATTCTAAAAATATACATGTATCTCATTCTACCTGACGTTTTCCTTTTTCAATGTAAAAGCTTTGTTTCTGGAAAATCAGGATGTCATCTCCAACTTATTCACCATTTATGTTTAGGGGAGCAGGAAACGGAGGGATGACCCAGGAGCCCAAAAGGCAGAAAAAAATGAATGGCGAATGTTTTGTTCTGTGTCATTTTGCTTCCTTCAAAAATCGGGCAAAAAGCCCCTAGAATGCTGTGTCGTCCCTCAGAAGGGGCATAAAAGATAAAATTTGGGGGAAAAAATCCGAATTTGTGGTCCCCCAAAACAAGTTTGGCCACCGAAAAATTGGCTCTGGGTGCATCCTTGTTTAGAATTTTATTATATTGCATAAAAAAGAGTTTTCTGTCATTCTACGCGGACTTACACCACAATCCAAATATTGTGGCTGCTCACAATCCTGTTCGTAAATGTGATGTCACTTCAGTTTAAACCACGCCCACTGCACACGTGCACTGCACATAGGGTTAACCATGGAACCGGAAGTTAACGCGCAACGTCAGCGGTTGTCCAATGAGAGCCTACAAATCGTAGGGCGTCCGCCTTTGTGACGAAGTCACTTACGAACTGGATACATTTCATGTACATGTACATCAAATCTGAAAACTTAGACAGGCCACTGGACTAGTGAGGCTCCTCAAAATATCTTGCACAGCTTGACCTTAAAATTTAATTTGATATTGCATGATGCAAAAATTTTCGCCCCCAAATAGACGGGGTGATAAAAATAAGGTGGTATGCGGGCAAGGAAGATAAGTTTAGGCATTTGAACCTATTATGGATTTTGTCCTTTCACCGACTTATATTCATCTCCCCGACACAAATTACATCTTTCTGAATACGTGAGCTTACATACTTTCAGAAATTTGATATTTTGAAACATTTCGACGATATCCGAAAATATTTATCTCGATAATAAAAATCTTCCGCAACGTCAACTTGTTGCATATAATTTGCAGTCTTTTGAAATTGAAGTTCAAGCTTTAAGCGTTAATTTGCTTCTGTTTAAGTATTTAGATGGGAAGCATGAATTTGCAGCTGGTAACAAACTTCGAGGTTGAAAACTTTTATGACGTTCTTCTATAAATTCAGAAAGCTAACCAAAATTTCTGACCGAGAAAAAGGGTACACTAGAGTGTAATTTGAAAGTTCATTTCTTGTTTTATTCATGCCAGAAATTCAGGTCCACTACTTATGTTTTAAATCAAACTTGATTAAATCAACCGACAATTACAATTTCAAAGAATCAAAGGTCCTCACGCCTGTTTCATGAAGCTTTTTTATTTTAATTTACAAGGGGAAACTGCCTATGTGCAAAGCAAAATGAAGCTTAAAACCAGCAATAATGACACAAATCAGGTTGGTAACCCCTCTCCACCCTTACTCCCTTTTTTCTAAGTGCTTAGATTTTCCAAGGCCTGTCCTTGATGAACCCAAAGGCGTCCTCAATTGAGCACTTTCCCAAATCGTCGATCCCAAGGCTTACTTACTTAAAAAGGCTCACTTAAAAGACAAGATGGAAAGCTACAATGAAATAAAAAATAATAATTGTAAATAACTTCGGCTGACGGTTAGGAAGATCTCCGAGAAAACTGTGCAAAAGCCCCCATAAAGGAAAGGTGGTATCTCCGAATACTGGACGGTGGATATCGAATCCATTCGTCACATTATTTACATCTATTTTACATGGAAAATCGGAGATCATCAACACAATTTAACACCAAGTTGCTATGAAATTATTCACAAATTATAGGTATGAAATTCTAAATTAAGGCAGTCCTTTGGACTGAAAGAAACCGAGGAGAACACACGTGCCTCCAAAAAAGGCACGTGTATGCAAATGGTTGATTTTGCAAGAGAGAGGCCCGTAAAAGAGAAAGACTTTTGCCGTTGCGTGATAACGTTTATTGTATTTATATACATAAAAATATCTTTTGGAGGATAAAAACGGTTTTAAGCAAAACACGTGGTAATTTAATATGCAGAGAACTGAAGATTTAGTTTCGGGTACGGTATGACAACAAAAATTACGAAGCAGCCAATGAGACAGTAAGACATGCGAAAGAGCGCCCCCGCGAGACGTTAGGCTGAGTTCGGGCGGCTTGTTCTCGCACGTTCACGAACAGCTGAATGTTATTCTTGGGTCGGCCGCTCGAACGCCGGAAACGTACTACCGGTTGTCGCTGATAGTTAGTGATAAGCAACTGCAATATGGCGTTATATGTACGTTATTCGAGAGTTAATGTTTGGATAACTAGGCTGAATTCTTTTCTATCTAAACAGGAACATTCTTTCTGTGTTACGGAAAATGATGGATGTTAATTTTGCAAAACGTCCTGTTGTCTTTGGCTTTTTAAGCCGTCTCTCTACTTTTTGCTGCTGTTCAAAAATCAAAATCTCACGAGTTTTTCTGTGTGTTCCCGTAATACCCTGACGAGGAGGCGGTGTGTGATCCTGTCGGGGAACAGTGTTCTTGAGTCGTGTTCCCGCCGTTCGAGCGCGAGAACAATAAACCCGTGTCAAGAACAGGCTACCCGTACTCAGTACTCGTCCTGTGTGCGAAGCCAGCTTTAGTAAACAAACATGTACGTGTATCGGTAAATCGCGACAACTGTCGCCTACGCCGCGCTCAGTTCTCTTTCCAACATCAAGGTGAGAGTCAAAACTTTCTGTCTGCTATGTATTACTTGTAAAAGTTGGAAAGTCTATTGTACCTACTGAAGGAAATAAAATGAGCTCTCAGTCTCTGAACGTCATACAATCATAATTTACAGAACTGTTGGCCAAGGTTTGTCGATCTGTGCCTGACTTTCCGGACGGATAAGAAAACGGGGACCAGACGGATCATTGTGTACGGGCAGTACAATGTACGCAGGCTGATTTTGAGTCAGCTCGTCGTAATGGAATAACGGGATCAGGTCAACTGGGACCCAAACCAACTCGGACCCATTCCAACTCGGACCTACGCCAACTCGGACCCAATAGTAACTCGGACCCACGACCATCTCGGACCCACGACCAACTTGGACCCACCATCTCGGACCCATCTCGAGTCAACTCAGACCTGAGTCTTGTGGTTGCACTACACCAAATATGCACCCGTAGACCAAAATGGCGTCGACTCTTGAACCTCGCAAAGAGTTTGGCCTTTTTTTTTCACTGAAAATTCAAGATTATATTTTTTGCTGGAAATTCAAGATTATGGCCGGATCGATCACTTTTGGTTTCAATTTATGAACTTTTTTATTCGCCTTTTCCCGAAGATACCCCCTAATACTAAAACTATGTGCTCAGCTCTGAATGTAGCCGCCCGCCTCTAAATAGGCCTGCAATGTGGGGCTTTTTGTGAAAGAAATATTCTGAACTGGAAACTATCAATCCCAAATTCGGGATTTATATAAATAATTCTGTGACCCCTCTTGATTATGGCACATCTTATCATAAAAAAAAAAACAACGTGGTGATCTGGAGTGCCAAAAAACTTCGGAAAAGGGCGTCAATGATTTGGTACTGTCAATCACACTCCAAAAGCTGCTCCCATTGGTTGTCCCAACATGCCCAAGCTTCCACTCCCCGATCATAGGGTTTCAAGAATGGAAGGTGACAAAATCAGTCTTTGTGGTCGACCACGCTGGTACCTCGGAAGCTAATAACCGATTAAGATTCCAGATTACAAGCGGCAAATAAGACATCAGAGGAAATGTGCCTCCATAAAAATACGACGCTCGTCTGTTACTTATCACCTGTTCCAAGACATCACTGATATCAAATCTAGTCCTGTATGGTTTTCAACCACCATGCCTGTTCAAACTTGAAAACTGAGAAATTCTGGGAAGCCTGTGCCACTGTTTCCCTGCATAACGTGTAGAGAGAATGTTACATCTCCGTAGCATGCAGTGCAAAAGTGTCATTTACCAAATGCTAAAATGTAAAAGTGGACAAAATCAAAATTTTCAACAAGCTAATCACGCTCCTTGGGTTGGGTCCGAGTTGACTCAGGGTGGGTCCGAGTTGGTCGTAGGTCCAAGTTAGTATTGGGTCCGAGTTGGTTGTGGGTCCGGGTTAGTATTGGGTCCGAGTTGGTCGTGGCTTCGAGTTGGCATGGGTTCGAGTTGGCATGGTTCCGTATTGGTTTCCTTTTTTATCTAAAACAGATTACGATAATTTGATTCCCTTTAACACCCCGAATGGATTGCGATAATTTTTCCTCCCCATTTTCCTGTTTTTCTCACTTTTTCATGATGTTAGATGCTGGGGGCGTTTCATATTAAAATGGTGAAACTCGCAAGTACATGTATGGTCGGTGATGGTCCCGCAAACGAAAGCTGAAAGATTCATTTCATTTTATTAACGATTTCAATTCTATCTGGGTTTTTTTGTGGTGCTGGGACTAAATTACGGAAATTTCCCATCCCAGGCCACCATGAGCACGAGAAGGAAAAAAAATCTCTTTTTCTCTAGTCAGATGCCATTTAGGCTATGTCCTGCATGTGTATTTCCTGATATGGTGGGGATTTTTCAACAACATCCGTCTCGTAAAAGGAACTTTTACTCATTTTATACATGTACGTTTGCATTCATTTCAATAAATGTGAGCATCAAAACCATATCATGCTCTGCATATTCTTTGCTGACTGGGCCTGGGGAGTACGATTTGACTTGGGTGCGAGTTGACCCAGGTACGGTACGAGTTAACTTGGGTGCGTATTTTGGGGTACAAGTTAACCCGGGTACAAGTTGGCCCATTTCGCTTAGGCTAGCCGGTCTGTCTGTAAGGTGCGTATCATTCCACCTTTGTTTTTCTGATTAATTTTCTCATAAACCCAGTCTTCAGAGTCAGCAATTAATGTTGCTGAATGATGATCATGATGATCATAACATGAGCTTCTAATTCATCACGTTAGATATTTTCAACACAATTTTAACAGGTAGAAAGGCATTCTGACTGTAATGTGTCTGTGTAGGACCTAACGGTACACGACCCTTTAGAGTTTTAACTTGAACTCAACAAATCGCCTGTTTTTTTTTTAAACATTTGGACATGATGGTTAGGCAACAGTAGAATCCGAGTATCACATTTTTGTAACATTAATTTGTGA